AAATATAAGAACTAAAACCAAAATTTTTGGGGGGAGAGTACTGGGGATTGAACTCAGGAACCTTGAGCTTGCCATACAGGCACTTACGCCACTGAGCTATCTCCCCAGCCCCTAAAGGCAGATTTCTTGTTTCACTTTTCTTACTATTCACACTCCCTAGTTAGTGACAGTGGGATTGAAATAGACAATTTCTGTCTGCCTCTAGTACATATTTAAGTATTGGAGTATTCTGATTCAAAGATATTTTTGCTGGGAGCTTTACATAGACTGGTTGATCACCCTAATCTTAGAAGGAATCATGGTAGTTGATACAAACACAGCTGGGCACTGTTCTGACACGTAGACGTGTTAATTCACTTCATACTTAAAATACCCTTATGAGATCAATAGTCATACTATCTCCATTTTTCAGTTGAAGACATGAAGCATATTATGGTACAGAAAGGCTAACCAGTTTAAATTCTCACAGCTGGAAAACAGCAGATCTGAATTCTCACAGCTGGAAAATGGTAGATCTGGGTTTCAACCCAAGCATAGCCAAACTCCAGAATCTGTGGTTGTAACGTCTGCATGTACTAACACTCAAAGAAGCAGGTGTATTTATCTCTAGTTTATGAATGATGGTGCCAAAGGCACATGACTAGCAAACAAAGAAATAAAACAAAACAAAAAAAATTAGGGTAGGAAACCAGAATTATCTGTCACTCATGTCTATTCTTTGTCTCCTATACAATACCACAGGGATGGGTTCCAAGAATGAGGACAGAAGGGGACATCCAAAGTGAGGAGGAGAGGAAATCTAATATGAGAAGCTCTTCTGCCATCACCGAGCTCCAGTACATTCAGACATGCTGGCACCCTCAGGATCCCTCAAATACAAGTCCCAGCTTCCTGCCGGTACAAAGATAAACAGCCCCGGATATTCCTTAACCTTCAGACCCACCCTGCCTGGTTTCACCCTACTGGTTTTCCTTATCTCAACCCTGGCTCTATGAAGATGGATGGTCTCACTTAGTGCTCTGCAAGTCCTCTGTATCCCTGAGATATCTAAAGAACAATAGCTCTAAGGAGTCACCAAATCCAAAATTGGAAAGAAACCATTATTATCACTAATTCTTTCCATCAGTGAAAACTGAGTATCGTTAATTAAATTGCTGTATATACTTTATGCATCACTTGAACAGAGGCTACACAGGTCAAAATAAACAATACCTCCATTCAGAGTTTACAAAGCATACCATCTATATAAAAAAGCTTAAATTGTGGGGTTTTTTTCTGAAAACTTAACTACATTATACAATATTTGGAACAAAATTTAAAATAATAACATGTGGATATACTGACAACAGAAGAGCTTTTCACACCTTTGTCCCCAAAAAACTCCGCACCACCACCAAACAGCCTCCCTGCTCATTTCCTAACAAACTCTTAGCTCAGAATTCCAAGTATCTAAACACAACTCTATACCATGTCTTCAGTTATGAGCCTTTCTGTCCCCCTGGATACAACTCTTCAGGATGCACCACTGCCTGCCCCAAGAGTATAGTCTGAATTTTCTGCTTTCATAGACTTGTATATCCAAGTGTCCTGTGATGTCCTGACTCAGGTGTCATTTAATCTCTTCTTTAAGACAATCCTCAGGTTCTACTATCTCCCTTGCTGCTCCGACAAAAGTGTTTTTTTCCTTCATTGGGCCATCAGACATCTTTCGTGATATATGTATCATGTTATGTAAATATACATATACATACATATAACTTCTATTATGTTTAGTTATGTTCTTTGGCATGTTTTCCAAATTAGGCTACACATTTCACACGACCAGTGACTACGATTCGTTCCTGAACTTGCCTTTAAAACCTCTGCTCTGCCATATACAGTGTTAGGAACAGAGAGACTCAACAAACATTGAACAGTTATATTATTAATAATAATTTTGACCTGTGGATGTAGCCTAGTAGTAAGCCACTTCCCTAAAGTTACCAAGGCCCAGGTTCAATCACCAGTGCTATGTAAGGAGTAAAATAAAATGAATAATGTTAATTATATAGTGATCTCTTGTGGAGTACAACTGTGGGCCCAGGATAAAATTTACATATTATAACTAATTTAACATTCACAATCCTTTCATTGGGGATATTGAGACTTAGCAAGGTTAAGTAAATTGCTCAAGGTTAGACATCCTAATTCTTATCACAACAGTAGACTGTACCTTGGACTCAAATTTGTTAGATTCTCAACCAATTCAACACTGTGCAAAATGATAAAATACAAAATATATATATAACTCTAAATTTTTACATAAATTGCACAAATATGAAACAGATCTAGAGGCTGTAATACTCAAGAGAGCTACTTTTCAAATTATTTCAAAAATTAGATATGAGTTCAAAATATCATTTTATATTTATATAGCTGTCATCATAGTATAGGAAATATAAGGTATTTATAATATGAAAACAACTTTGAGAGATTTATTTAGGAGAATAGTGGCATAGGAGCAAGTTGAATTTTCATATTTTAATGGAAAACAAAGCATTGTAAGTTTAATAGTCCTGGGTTAAAATTTTGGCAATCATATTTTAGCCTTGATTCTTGGGCATGTTACTTAATCTTCCCAAGTCAACATTTCCCCAACATTGTGGTCACTAATAATGAGAGCATTCAGAGGTAATTCTAATATAAGATGAGTGTAAAATATGTAGAAAACCTATTACAGCGTCTAACATAAAGTAACAACTTTACTGATGTTGGGTATTATTAATGTTTTTATCAATCATACTCTTGTGTCAAGGGAGTAGGCTAAGCCAGCGTTCTGAGAAGAACAGAGAGACAAAGCTGCCCTCACTCTTTCTACCCTTCTCACAGTGACAGAACATGTTACTCCTAAGAGAAGTAAGGGGAACAAAGACCAGCATAGGCCATCCTCCAAGTCCCTACACTTCCTTCTTTTCAAATTTTCACTTCCTTACTCTTAATTTCATTCTTTTGTTAAAAAAAAAAAAAAGGCCAAATAATGAAAACCAAGTTGGATCCACCCTACCAAACAGTCTGTCCTCTTACATCTACAATGCCTGCCCTGCCGGCTTGTACTCCTCTTCTAGAGAATATGCTCGTTCAAAGTAGTACAGAAGTAGTACAGCACTGGGCAGCAGTCCCAGGGGCACACCAACATTATAACCACTTTGCTTTGTTTTCAGATGTTTCCAATTTATTATCTAAACCTCAAATGTTAATTGGAGACAGTTAATAGATGCATCCCCAGCCACACATGGCCTCGCAAAGAGCAGGCACTCAGTGGCGAGTTCCTCCAGCCCAGCTTCCTCCTGAGTAGAGAATCATCAAAATCTTCAGACCAATTTGGAACCCACCACAAGGGATGGATGGTTTGGATCTGAAGAGGTGTATCATTTAACTAAGGCACAGAATGGCAATTAGCAAGGGGCAGGTTACAGACACTATTGATCATGCTTGCAGAAGGTCAGTGACCTGAAAATAACTCGCTTTTCTTTTTTAAATAAAATATCCTTGAAAAATCTCTAAGCTAAATCGTTTCCTGGAAAACATGTGCCTGGAAAACCCAGCATCTGCAGAAAGTCAAAAAGCCCCAAAGATCTCAACAGTTTTTCCTCTGCCTTATTTTCAATTGGAAAAAAATAAAGAAGAAGTGAAGCTGGACTTCGGCTTTTTGATACAGGTCAGGAAACTGCAATGTCAAAAACAAAGCAAAGCATTTTCTGGGGCAGTTTCTAAAACATTTTACACCATTGTGTTGGAGATGAATTGAAACTCACCCATCACAGCACCTGCGATAAACAAAGTTATTCTGAAGTTATCAAAAAGTTGATTGATTTGTTCATAAGATTCTATTTTGTGTTAAAAACTCATTATTTTGTAAATTGAATTTTTCCTTAAAATCAAAGAGAAGATGAACATGAAAGCTTAAGGGCTACAAAAGGTGTTCTTTACATTAGTTGGAGGAATTCGTAACTTCAACTTCTGTAAGTAAAAGGTCACTTTCTCTCTTCATTTTTTAATTTACTATTTATTAATTAGGGGGACAGAGAAGGATCCTGACTGCATCGTCGGAAGGGAAACTCCTCCAGCACTAAAGGAAAGACCATGTAGCAAGTTTGCTAAAGACGTAACACCCATTCTCCTGAAAATAACTTTGCACTGTGTTCACATATGTAAATTATGTGACTGCTATTCCAACCATTGCCTGTGTGTGTTCATGTGTGAGAACCCAGATCTGTATTTTCATACTGTCACACACACACACACACACACACACACACACACACCACTAGTCCATAGAGCCAAAGGGCTTTTCCAGGCAGGTTCCAGGAGACTGGGACTGGAGCCTGAGAGGACAGCAGCCTTTACAAAAATCTGAAGCACTCTTGTGCTTGAGGTACAGCGCCGACCTCCCCGCAAAGCTCTGTTGCTGAGGCCTCTTCACTTAGAAATTTCCACCTTCCCTTTCAGATATTTGCTCCCTGGCCGGCTTAGCCCACTGAGTCCCTGCATCCCAACCGCTAAGAAACGGTTAAATGGGACAGCGTGCCGGACTCTGGAAGCGGGAGCCCCCTCCACTCCCCAGCAACGCCTCCTCTTCCTCCTCGCCGCTCCTCTCCGCGGCGCAGCGGGGTGGAAGGTCCGGAAAGCCAGGCCCCACGATGCAAGGAGCCCAGCTTCAGCCCGGGCGCACCTCTCCCCGCGCCCGACACCGCATCACCTCGCGGTCCCTGTCCCCCGCCACCTCCTCCCTGTCACCCAACACTGCGGCCAGTGGCCGCAAGGGCTCCGGGGGCGAAGTGTGGGGAAGCTCAGGGCTTCCCTCGCCCCCCGCCCGGCGCCCGGGAAGCAAGCCCGCTGGGGAAGCGGCTGCTGCAACTTGGGGGAACTTGGGCGGGCGCTCCGGCGGCCGCACCGCACCCTCCCGGCCGGGCCTCCACCCGAGGGCGAGGGTGGGCGGGCGAGCACCACCCCGGGCTTACCACGAGCGCGGGGACCCCGGCGGCCAGCGAGTAGAGGAGCACGGGGGGCACGGCGCTGCTGTCCTCCGGGCCCGGGTAGGGCTTGCGGTAGGCGCTGTCGTGGCAGAAGAAGCCCTGCACGTTCACGGAGAACGTGTCGGTGTACTCGAAGTAGTAAGCCAGCATCACCGTCCCTGCCATGATCACCATCTGGAAATAGAGCATGCTGCTGGTGAGCGCCGCGGGCCGCCGGGGCACGCACGCCGCCGGCCGAGCTGGCGAGCCCCCGCCCGGTCGCGGAGGA